TAAGCGTCCGACTTCAGCCAGGTCACGATCTCGCGGTCCGTGAGTTTGAGCCCCGCGTCAGGCTCTGGGCTGATGGCTCAGAGCCTGGAGCCCGTTTCCGATTCTGTGTCTCCCTCTCTCTCTGCCCCTCCCCCGTTCACGCTCTGTCTCTCTCTGTCCCAAAAATAAATAAATGTTGAAAAAAAAAATTAAAAAAAAAAATAAATGGAGGATGCCCGAGCCTGCAGGTTAAAGATCAGAGACCTCCAATGAACTCCAATTGCCCTCTTGCCCTCTTCCACATAGGCATCTCAGACTAAGCAGAATCCTTAATGCCTGCTATTCATCCACCCAACCTCACTCATTCATCTTCCAATTTTTAACTATTAGAAAACATACTCCCAGCATCTACCCATTTGACATGTCTTCCCAGAGTCCTTCTGGATTCCTCACTCTACCCCCTCCATACAATGAATTACTGCCTCCATCACATTTCTCAAAAAGTCTACTTTTCAGCATGCCTCAGTGGCTCAGTTGGTTCAACTCTTGGTTTTGGCTCAAGTCACGGTCTTGCGGTTTGGGGGTTGGAGCCCTGTGTGAGGCTCTGCCCTGCTGGTGTGGAGCCTGCTTGGGGTTCTCTCTCTCACTCGCTCTCTGCCCCTCCCCCACTTGTGCGCATGTGTGCGCACGCACTCGCATGCACGTTCTCTCTCCCTCTCTCTAAATAAATAAATAAATAAACTTTAAAAAAAAATCTACTTTTCTGCATGCCCTCTGAGTCTGCCCCATTCCAAGTAAACATCATCCTTCATCGGGATCATTACAAAAGCCTTCTAACTGGTTTTCCTGCTGCTTCTCTCAACCCACCTCTAATCCATTCTCCACACTGCAGCCAAAGAGTGGTCTTTCAAGGCAAAACCAAATTGGGGTGCCTGGGTGGTTCAGTCGGTTAAGCATCTGACTCTTGATTTCGGCTCAGGTCATGATCTCATGGTTCTTGGGATGGAGCCCCACATAGGGCTCTGAGCTGGCATCAGGGAGCCTGCTTAGGGTTTGCTCTCTCTTTGCTCTTCCCCCGCCTGAATACATGAGCTCTCTCTCTCTCAAAATGAATTTAAAATTTTTTTTAAAAAGCATAATCACATCAATTCACTCCCTCATTTAAAACCTACAAAGGTTTCCCATTACATTCTCCTGACAACTAGAGCTGTTCACCACCCTCCCTAACTTCTGTGTCTCGGCCTGGAATGCCCTTCCCCTGACAACCTTCTCATCCTAACTGGCTACTTCTCATCCTGAGAGTCATATCCCTTTCTAGGCGCTCCCTTCCCTACTCTACATCACAGCGCCCTGCCAAGTTCCTTCTCAGTGGAACCATATGCTGTTTTCACTGTCTCTCTGCAGGAAGGAGGCAGTGAATTCCATGTGGATGGACAGAGATGTTCACCCATGTTTCCCAGAGTCCAGCACTGCGCCCGGCATGCAGTAGACACTAGATATTTGATGAATAGGATGATTTACTATGAGCAGATTCCCTGCCTGTGAGATTTATGGTTGTACTTTTTTTCCTTTTTTTTTTAAGAAGCTCTATGCCCAACGTGGGGCTTGAACTGATGACTCCAAGATCAAAAGTTGCCTGCTCTACCAACTGAGCCAGGCAGGTGCCCCTATAGTTATACTTTTCCAAAAATTAATAAAAAGATTAAGCAACTCATAAAGGGTATACTTCTTGGCTGTTTTATTCTTCTTGGTGCTGCCATTCTGGTGTCTAACAGGATGATGATAACTATGATTTTCTGTGTCTAGTATGTGACAGGCCCTGCACATTTCTTAGTTCTAATTCTTACAACAACCCAGTGAGGTGACCTATTATTTCCACTGCACAAATTAAAACTTAGACTCTGTTTATCATGCTCAATGTTGGATCTTGTTTATTGCACTTTGAAGTCATAGAAGTCTTCAAGTTGAATGATAGTAACTTTTTTTTTAAATTTTTTTTTTTAACGTTTATTTATTTTTGAGACAGAGAGAGACAGAGCATGAACGGGGGAGGAGCAGAGAGAGAGGGAGACACAGAATCGGAAACAGGCTCCAGGCTCTGAGCTCAGAGCCCAGAGCCTGATGCGGGGCTCGAACTCACGGACCGCGAGATCGTGACCTGGCTGAAGTCGGACGCTTAACCGACAGCCACCCAGGCGCCCCAGTAACTTTTTTTTTTAAAGTTTATTCATTTATTTTGACAGAGAGAGAGAGAGAGAGAGAGAGAGAGAGAGAGAG